GCTAATGTGGCAGCAGCAGAGCTCTGGAACCATAACTACTGTTTCATATTCCCACGTGACTGCCACAAGATGCATAGAGGAGGAAGTTACTTTAGATACCAGCCCTTCGAGTTGTTCTGTTTAAAAGTGTATACTCTTGCTAGTGCAGGCAACACACAGGCTGTGCTCCAGCCATCCTAGTATACTAACTACAACCAAACCATGTTGCTATGCCCCCCACACATGCACCCACTTTTCTGCTAGTTGCACGTGGAACTGAGGAAAGAACCTGTTTAACTGTAAGTGCCTTATTAGCACAGGAAGCACACTGCTGGCTTGGCTTCAATACCTCTACTCATTCTAGTTTGATCTGGTGTAACTTCAAGTTCTTAGACTGTCCCATGCACCTAAGCACTGCTGGCCATCTTCCTAAGAGAAGCAACTCACCCTGAACCATTTTAGGCACAGGCCACTACTTTTTATCTATTTACAACTGTTCCTGCAACTCCCGTTGCGTGCAGGATTCTTCCTTTCCTGTCCTGCTCCACCTTGCTTTCATACCAAATGTAACAGATGCAGTGATTTTAAAGTAAGCCTAGGAAAGTCAGGTCAACTACTTTTTTTTTTATTTATTTGTACACAGTGAAGTAACCAAACAAGAAAAAGTCTACAAAAAAGAGACACTGATGCTTGTTGTTCATACTAGAACAGAACTGATGGAAACAAACTAGAGGTTGGGTTTGATTTTTCATTAAGACTCCGGAGGTAATATGAGCTGCTGCAATAAATCCAAGATTTGCCACATCAGAAGAGTTTTAAGTGCCCAGACACTTTATCTACCAGATCAGCTGGGCCTGGGCCAATGCCTAAGACAGTTTGGGAGCCAGGTGCAATCTGAGTACGACCAGCATCTTGAATTAAGCTCACAGTCAGTCCTAGCTGTTTAGCATCAACAAGGAGATGAACTAGAGTCTCTTCATCAGGGGCTCTGAGCACCACTTTAGTTTGCCCACAATGCTCCCACTGCTTGAGGAGCTCTGGGTTTCTTTTCTGAACCTGCTTGTACGCAGAAACTGCAGCATGTGAACACTGCGCTGCCACTTTGCCTTTCCCCATCTTCAAGTCTTGGCGGACAATGAGCACCATTTTGAACTCCCCAGACTCTCCCATGATGCTGACTTCGCTCCCCAGTTCAGCAGCAGGCATGTTCATGCGCACTTTGGATGGTCTGAAGAATCGTCCACGCATACCCCAACCCAGGCACACTCCACAGGCCACTCCAGCCATAACGCTGAGGAGATCAGGTTTGGGGAAGTAATCCATGGCAGCAGATTCTGCAAACCCACCGACAGGGAAGGAAAGAAGAGAAAAAAATGGTTTCGGTCTTACAAAGCACCTGCCGTTTCACTAGGCCACGGGTGGGGCCCTGCAGGGCCCCCCAAAAATTTAGCAAATTAATATTTATCTTCCCTGGGCCTGCCTGTCATGTGGCCCTCTGCCCAAAATAATTGCCCGCCCCTGAACTAGGAGGCCTTTCACCAAGGTCCCTGCACCCAAATCGCGAGAGATAATAGCCTCCTAGAGAAGTCAGGCTGGAAGTCCACGGGTCCCCCCGGGTCCAACCCTATCCAAACCATTGCATGCTCTCCATCACCTCACTTCTGCCTAAAACTATTGTATTCCCTGACGCAACCGAACACCCACATGAACGGCAGCAGCCAACATCCTGCTTCTGTGAAACATCAATGGACGCAACAGCACCTTTGCCGCAAACAAAAGAGGGCCAAGGGAGGCCAAACAAGTGTCAGAGCAAAAACTTCTTCCCTTTGCTGCGCCTCTTCTGGGGGGGGGGGGGCTGCTTCTCTGGAGGCAAGTGTGACTCATTCTCCTAACGAGGCCGCCCGCCCGCCCCTGCTCTTTATAGAGCTGCGTTTGCAACACCACTGGCAATAAGAAGATCGGCTGGAAGCGCCAGCCACGAAACTGGTTGGCAATCGGACACTGGGGACCCCCCCCCCCACGATCTGGTGTCCCCCCAGACTCAGGAGGCACCAGTCACCCATGTGCAACGCGTGGAAGAAACGGGTCGTGCTGGCATCACGCTCTCCTCGGTCCGTCCCTGCTCATGGATCAAAGCCACGTCCCACGGGGCAGCATCCTGGGACGGGATGGGTCGGGGCTGGATTATGACCAGCTGGACATTCTTTGGAGCCTCCGCGTGCGATCAAAATACCTCCCGAAGAAGGATTTTCATGAAACATTAAAAGGAAAGATTATTTCTGCACAAACCATCATAATTTCTGAACTCCATATGAATAATAACAGTGAGGCAGAGGTCGGTCAATTTTTGTCCTATTAGAACAAAAATGTCCAGTTGGGGGTGGGGGTGGCATTTCTTATTTAGAGGCTCCCTTATAGTCTGAGGGCCTAAAATAAACGCTGCGCCGGGCGGTCCCAGAACATCAAGGCACTCACCTGGGAAGCGCCCACGAGTCCGCCGCTGCTCCCGGCTGCTGTCGCCTGGCAGTGACGTCAGCGCGCCGCGTCGCGCGTGCGACACGTCAGCGCTGGGGGGGAGGGGCGCAGCGCTGAGGGGAGCGGCGCGCGAGAAGTGACGCAGAGTCCCCGCCTGTTCCGCTGCAGCGTCTGCCCCCTCCCCTCCGGCTTGGCCCGAGCCCAGCGGCAGCAGCCGGAGCCGGCGGTGCTGGAGCGCGGTGAGTCCCGGGCGCCGCATCCACTGGCCCCCCGAACTGGGCCGGGAGCGGGTCCCGCGCGCCCCCTCCGTGAGGCGACCCCTGGGCCTCATTCAGTGGGGGCTGTGCGGTGCCCCTCCCTCCTCAGCCCCTGCCCCCCCCCCCC